CGCCGGCTCTGCCGGTGCCGGTGCCGGTCCGGTCCGGCGGGCCCGGGGCCGCGTGCGGGCGGGGCGGGGGCGGCGCTGCCGGCCCGGCCCGGGGCGGGGGGGCCGGACGGGACGGTGACGGTCCCCGGCGCGGCGGGCCCGGCGCGGCCGCTGGCGGAGCATGAGGGAGCCATGAGCCCGCTGCGGGGGTGGCTGCTGGCCGCGCTGCTCTCGCTCGCCCCGCGGGCAGGTAGGTCCGGACCCGCTCCCGCTCCGGCATCGCCCCGGTACCGGCCCCGCTCCCGGCCCCGCATCGCGCCCGCCGCGCTCCCGGCCCCGCTCCCGGCCCCGCATCGCCCCGCTCCCGGCCCCGCCGCCGCCGCTGCGGCTTTTTCGCTGCATCGACACATTTTTCCGCAGCGCCGCCCCGCAGAGCCCCGGGAGGGGCCGGGCCCGCGATCCCCCCGCACCTGCCCGGCCCCGGCCCCGCAGCCCCGGCTCCGCACCTGCCCCGGCCCCGCAGCGGCCCCGCAGCCCCGCGCCCACCCCCGGCCCCGCTCCTGCCCCGGCCCCGCGCCCTCCACCGCACTGTCCCCGCAGCGGCCCCCGCCGTGTTCCCTCTCCGGAGGTGGCCGCACACAGCCCCCCGTGTCCCCTTCACGATGTGTCCCCATCTCGGCTCCCCCGTCCCCTGCATGCCCCATAGATGTCCTTACAGCAGCCCTCCACGTCCCCTTGGGATGTGTCCCCATAGCAGCTACCCCCCGTGTCCCTTGGCTGTCACCTCCAAAGGTGTCCCTGCACCAGCCCTGCTGTCCCCTCGTTGTCCCCTCTATGGGGGTGTCCCCATACCAGTCTTCCATCTCCCGTTCGGTGGTGTTCCCATCCCGGCCCTCTCTGTCCCCTGGGTGTCCCCTCTGAGATGTGTCCCCATTCCAGCTCCCCCCTTTTCCCTGCATGTCCCGTCCAGGATATGCCGATTCCCCCTCCCCAGCCTTTCCTCCAGGTGTAATGGCATTTCTGAATCCCCTCTCCCCTGCATGCCCCCCTCGGGGATGCAGCACTTTATCAGCCACCCGTGTCCCCTGTGTGTCCCCTCCAGGACGTGCCACTGTATCTGAGACCTCCTGAGCTTCCCCTCCCAGGTTTATTCCCCTACTGGTCACCCCCCTCCCCTGGGCACCCCTCCCAGCCCGTGCTTGCTGGGTGTCCCCTTCTGGGCACACCGGCACACCCGGATGTTCCCCAGCTGCCCGCCCTGGGACAATCCCTGTACCCACCCTCCATGTTCCCTGGGCATCCCATACAGGACATGAATGTCCCCTTCTGGATACAGTGCCACACTTGGGCCACCTCCTGAGCATGTTCACCAACTCTGTCCCCTCGTGTTCCCACCCCTGTGTGCCCTCATCTCCCTGTCCCTCCTCGTCCCCAGTCCTCCATGTCCCCTTGTCCCCAGGCCCCTGTGTCTCCATCCCTTCTCCTCCCCAGGCCCGTGTCCCCACACCCCTCCAGGGTGGCCGCGACCCTGTCCCTCTCCCGCAGGTCCTGCCGCGCAGGCCGGAGCGCTGCCGCGGAGGCTCCCACGGGCCGCATGGCAGGAAGGGCGGGTGGTCTCCCAAATCACCCACCCCAGCAGGCTGGTGGGGCAGAGCTCGGGCGGAGAAGTCCCAAAGCATCAGCTGGACACCAGAGTCAGACATGAGCCCGGAGGAGGAGGAGGAGGAGGTGGAGGACCCGTAAGTGAACGACAGCCCCCAAGCCGCTCCCTTCCCGGGCCCCTGGCAGGCGGCAGGTCCAGGTCCCCAGGTTCCGCCGTCACTGGCCCAGCCACACCCCAGCGTGTGCGTGGGTACCGGCATCCCGAACTGGAGCCCTGATCCCCCCCGGGAACATCCCGCTGCCATCCTCCCCGGGGGGACACTGACTTGTGCAGCAAAATCTCATTAAATCTGGGAACCGGTGGCGCGCGGGTTTTGGGAGAGATGAAACGGGAGCGGGCAGGTGGCGAGCAGGGCTCCCACGGGAGGAGGCTCGTGGGTCCGGCAAGGGCGGATTCAAGCCCGTGGGAGCGGCCCCCCGTGTCCCACCCAGTGCTGCTCCCCAGAGCACCCCAGGCTCGGGCCGTGACCTTCACCCCATCGCTGCCGGTCCCCGCGTTTCGGGGAGCAGCACACGCGCTCCGTCCGGCACGGGGGAGCTGCGGTGTTGGCAGCCGCCGGGGCCGGCGCCCATCGATCCCCGTCCGCGCCGGATAAAGGCGAGATGAGGAGCTGCTCTCGCCGCAGAGGTGATTTACACCCGGCGTCGAGTGAAACCGCCGGACGCCGGGAAGCGGCGGCAGCCGCCGCGCTGGCGAGGGGCCAGGGAGGTGTTAAGGCAGGGTGTCGAGGCAGGAGGGAGCAGCGGAGATCCAGGGGAATTCGGTCCCGGCGGCAGAGCCCTCTCCGGCAGTGCTGCAGGACCCCAGGGATGCGGTGGGGGCCCGGGACATCCTCTCCCTGTGATGACAGGCGGCTCCACATCCCTGCGTCCTCATCCCGAGCTGCCCCGGGTTCCCAGCAAGGGGGCAGGGCACGCCACGATGGGTTTGGCGCTTCCTCCGCTCCCCCGTGTGAAGCACCGGAGGGACCCGCAGACTGTGCCGGGCTCTCACCCGTGCGCCGAGTTTGCGGGGTCTGAGGCCGCTCCGCAGCGCTCGGCTCCCGCTGCCGGCGGCAGGAATTAGGTCAGGAACGGCGGCGCCGCAGGGCGGGAGAAGCGGAGGCTCGGCTGCCGCGGCCGGGCTGGGCCCAGCCCGGGGGGACCCTCCGGCACCCCCACCCCAGCACGGCACCCGCGGAGGGGGAGGTGGAACCCAGGTGTCATCCCAGTGCTCCAGGGGTGATGGGTTTAAGGAAAAAAAACCCCATCATTCCTTTTTTCCTTTATGCTGAATTTTTCGGTTTAAAAAAAAAAAAAAAAAAAAAAAAAGTGCATCTTCACAGGCTGCGTATTTAGGTTGGGGTTTAAATGATTACTTTAGTTATGAATTTTTTGGGGGAGCTGACAGCTCTGGCTGTCCTGCAGGGGCTGCACCTGGCACAGGTGAGCTTCATGGTGCGTGCCTTCGGCTCAGCCTTCACCCTCGATCTCCGGCTGAACCAGTGAGTGACCCGGGGGTCCTGGCAGGGGGGGCCGCCATGGGGCTGCTGGTGCCCCCCGGGAGGAGGGGAAGAGCTGGGGGTGCTCGGGGATGGGGGAGCTGTGCAGAACCATCCCAGCAGTGGGGGCTGAGCCAGGGTGTGGAGCGGAGGGAGAGGGAGCCACGGGATGTCAGCACCCTCCCAAACTGGGGGGTCCCATGCTGGGGTGACTCCTTGTTTATGGATGGTGGGTGGTCTCCCACACCGGGGTGGTGGCTGCTGTCGTCTCCCTCTTCATCCTCTTCCTCCCCACCCCACGGCCTCTCACCCCCCACCTGCTCCCGGCAGCCACCTCCTCGCCTCCCACTACGTGGAGCGGCACCTCGGCGCGGGCAGCAACGGCAGCCACAGCACGGTAAGATGTGTGCCAAGGTGTGCCAAGGTGTGCCAAGGTGTGCCAAGGTGTGCCAAACTGTGCCAAGCCAATCTGTGCCAAACCACGCTGTGCCGTGCTGCGCCCCACTGCACCATGCTGTGCCAAACCCTGCCATGCCATGCTGTACCGGTGCAGGGGTTGTGGTGGCCAGCTCATAAATCCCACAGAACCCCAGGAATGGTCCCCAGCAGCTCAGCATGCTCCCACCCACTGCCCCTGGGCACCCCTGCCCTGCGGGGTGCTACCATGGTGCTGGGGGCTGCTCCTCGAGGGGGGTCCCTGGGTGCTGTGGGCACCAGGCACACCCTGAGGGTGCCTGGCACTGAACCCCAGAACGCTCAGCCTGGGCGCGGCCCCTGGGGGTGCGGGGCAGGGCGGCAGCCGAGGCTCAGCGCCCGTCCCCGCTCCGCAGGGCGCGGGGGAGCACTGCTACTACCAGGGCCGGATCCGGGGGCAGCCCCGCTCCTTCGCCGCTCTCTCCAGCTGCCAGGGCCTGCGGTGAGTACCCCACTGCCCACAGGGGGCCGGGGGGCTGCACCCCTCTGCACCCCGACACGCACATCTCTGTTTGCAGCGGGGTCTTCTCGGACGGCCGAGCCACGTACCTGATCGAGCCCCAGGCGGGCACCGAGCACGGGCAGGTGAGCGCTGGCACTGCCGTGTGCCTGCCCGAGCGCCCCAAGGCAGATTTACAGGTCTGGCTGTGGCTTGGGGACAGCCATGGGGACACGGGGACGTGGCAGTCCCCTCCCATGGCCGTGACACAGCTGTCCCCGCTGCAGGGCCTGCGGCCACACATCGTCCAGCGCGTCCCCAGCTGCCCCCGACTGGGTGAGGCTTCTCACAGAGCTCTTCCATTTGTGGCGGTGGCCTCAGTGGCCTCCTGGTGTCCCACCTCCTCTGTCCCTTCCCTCCAGGCTGCCTCTTCCCTGCGCTGAGCCAGCGTGTCCCTGGTGGGATACCAAAGCTGCGGCGGCGGCGGCAGGTTAGTGGGGACAGCGGGGTACACACGGCAGGGGACAGAGGACAATGGGCAGGGGACAATGTGCTTGACCCAGGCTGATTTCTGCCTGTTGGCCGAGGGTGCAGCCAGGCTCCTCCGCGGGTGTTAGGGTCGTGTTTGCAGGGTGCTGTTCCTGCCTGGGCTCAGGGATGTCCAGGGAACCCACTGGAATGCGCGGCTGCATCCCAAAACCACCCAGTGGCTCTCCCGTATCCCTGGGGGGGTCAGGAGCCCCAGCCGGGTGTCGGTGCCAGCTCAGCCGCGGGTTCCCACTGCAGGTCCGCCGAGCCCAGCACACGGTGCACAGCGAGACCAAGTACATCGAGCTGGCCGTGGTGAACGACCATCAGCTGGTGAGCGGGGGGTTCCCGGGGCTGGCGGGGGCCGTGAGGGGTCGGGCTGGCCCCCCCAATCCCACCTGGCCCCTGCTGTGCCCTCAGTTCCTGCAGCTCCGAAAGTCCGTAGTTCTTACCAGCAACTTCGCCAAGTCCGTGGTCAACCTGGCTGATATGGTGAGGGGGTCCCTGGAAGGAACCTGTCAGTGGTGGGGGGGGGTCCCTGGGAAGGTTAATCCCCTACATCTGATGGGTTTGTCCCTTGGGGGTTTCATTCCGCTTCATTCCCAAGGGATTTATCCCCACTGGGCTTATCCCTGGAGAGGATTTATCCCCCACCCTGGTGGGTTTGTCCCTGGGGGGGTTATCCTTGAGGGGACTGTTCCCAGCAGCTGGTGGATTTGTTCCCAGGGCATTTGTCCCTAGTTCCTGGTGATTTATCCCGGGGGGTTGATCCTCAGCACCTCCTGGGTTGGTCCCTTGAGAGTCTGGCCCCAGGGGGTTTGTCCCACTCTTGTTTTTCCCCTTTGGCACCTGGCGGGTTTGTCCCACCGGTGCTTTGTCCCCGGAAAATGGTCCCTGGTGCCGGCCGTGTGTGCCCAGCTCCTGAAATTGTCCACGCGGGTTTATCCCCAGTAGCTGCTGGGTTTGTCCGTGGGAGGGGGCGCGGCCCCAGCACCGTCCCTTTGTCCCCACAGATCTACAAGGAGCAGCTCAACACCCGCATCGTGCTGGTGGCCATGGAGACGTGGGCGGCCGAGGACCGGATCCGGGTGGGGCAAGACTCCCTGGAGACCCTGAACGAGTTTGTGAAATACCGGCGAGAGGGGCTGGCAGAGCACAGTGACACCGTCCACCTCTTCTCGTGAGCGCTGTGCCCACGTGTCCCCTCCCCGGGGCCGGGGACCGCGTCCCCCGTCCCCACCATCCTCTTCCTCGCAGGGGTCGGACGTTTCAGAGCAGCCGCAGCGGTACCGCCTTTGTCGGGGGCATCTGCTCCCCTGCCCGCGCCGGGGGCGTCAACGAGGTGGGTGCGGGGAGACCCCCGCGCGGGGGGGCTGGGGACAGGGACGGGGGTCCCTGCGGTGACACCGCGTCCCTCCCGGGCAGTACGGCAACGTGGCGGCCATGGCGGTGACACTGGCACAGACCCTGGGGCAGAACGTGGGCATGATGTGGAACAAGCACCGCACGGCCGCAGGTACCCGCGGGGACGGGGGGGACACCCCGCGGTGCCACCAGGCTGGCGGAGGGACAGTCAGCACCCCCAGCCCTCTCGTGTCCTCCCAGGGGACTGCCGCTGTCCGGACTCGTGGCTGGGCTGCATCATGGAGGACACAGGGTGGGTGCCCGCTCGGGGTGGCACTGCCACATCCCCCGCCACACCTCGTGTCACCGCTGCCGGCTCCGGGTGTCTGGCAGTGCCCCCGGACGAGGGCAGGGTGTGACAGTGTGACGGTGTGACAGTGACCCCCATCCCACAGGTACTACCTCCCGCGGAAGTTCTCTCGCTGCAGCATCGATGAGTACAACCAGTTCCTGCAGGACGGCGGCGGCAGCTGCCTCTTCAACAAACCCCTGAAGGTAACGGCCCCCCCGGCCCCTCTGGGGGTCACAGTGGGGAGCGATGCTCTGGGGGTGGCTTCTGGGGTCCCTCGGGACTCGTGGTGTCCCCAGCCACAGCCAAGGCGCTGGTGCTGAACTCGCAGAGCGGGAGGAGCCTCGTGCCCGGCTGCAGTTCGGGGGTGCTGCCATTCCCCGGGGATGTGATGCCCTTTCGGGGGGCTCATGGCAGCAGCTGGCTCAGGGGTCCCCAGCAGCTCTCGTGTGTTTGTCTCATGTCCTCCCTCGGTCCCGGCAGCTCCTGGACCCTCCGGAGTGCGGCAATGGCTTCGTGGAGGCAGGAGAGGAGTGCGACTGCGGCTCGCTGGCGGTGAGCAGGGTCAGGGGGCTGCTCCCCCCGCTCTGGGGGGGCTGTCAGGGCTGCCAGGGGGCTGATGGCCTTGATTCCGGCTGCTGTTCCCGCAGGAGTGTGCGAGGAGCGGGGGAAACTGCTGCAAGAAGTGCACCCTGACCCATGACGCCATGTGCAGCGATGGGCTCTGCTGCAAGGGCTGCAAGGTGCGGGCGGGGCTGGGAACATCCAGAGGGGCTCAGGGGGGCCAGGGTCCAGATGTGGACTCAGTGGAGTCCTGTCCCATTCCTGATGAGTTGGGTTTGTGTCCCGGGCAGTACGAGCCACGTGGCGTGTCCTGCCGGGAGGCTGTGAACGAGTGTGACATCCCTGAGACCTGCACCGGGGACTCCAGCCAGGTGAGTGGGGCCGGGGGGACAGGTGGAACATGTTGTGGGGCCTTGTGGCATCACCCAGCCTCTTCTCCATGTCCCCACAGTGTCCCCCCAACCTCCACAAGCTGGATGGATACTTCTGTGAGAACGAGCAGGTGAGTGCAGCCCAGCCTGGTGGGACACGGCCCTGGGGCTGGGCACATCCCCACGGGCTCCAGCATCGGGGCTTGTGCGTGTTGGAAGTGCATTTGGGACTGTCCAAGGACAGGGACGGGGCTTGGGGAAGCCTGGTCTGGTGGAAGATGTCCATGGCAGGGGATGGAACTGGATGGGCTTTAAGGTCCCTTCCAACCCAAACCACTCTGTGACTTTTTGTCAGCAATTGCAGCCACAGCTGAGCCACACGTACACACGTGGCTGTGGGTTTTGGGGTTAGCAGGGGGCCCTGAGCCCCCACTGCTGTCCCGTGGCTCTGCACACAGCTGGCTCCTGATCCCAGCGCCACATGAGCCGGGGCAGCGGTCCTGGGACCAGCCATGGGGGGATGTGGGGGGCTCGCTGTCCCTGCAGCACCTCCCTGCATCACGTGTGTGAGCCCCTCTCCAGCCTCATCACCCCTCCCCAGTCCCCCTGACCCCTGTCCAGCCCCTGACCTTCCTCCTGTCCCCTGAGCCTCCTCCAGCCCTGACCCCTCTCCGCTCCCCGCAGGGACGATGCTACGGCGGGCGCTGCAAAACCCGGGACCGTCAGTGCAACGCGCTGTGGGGCCGCAGTGAGTGTTGGCCTGGGCTGGGGGACACCGGGGGTGACCAGCGGGTGACACTCGCTCTCTGCCAGGCTCGGCCGAGCGCTTCTGCTACGAGAAGCTGAACGTGGAGGGGACGGAGCGGGGGAACTGCGGGCGCGAGGGCCTGGGCTGGCTGCAGTGCAACAAGCAGTGAGTGACCCCTGTCCCCCCGGCCCCTCCCGGTGCCACCCGCCCTCCTGGTGACACCACCGCTGCCTTGAAGGGACGTCCTCTGCGGCTTCCTCCTCTGCGCCAACATCTCGGGGTCGCCGCGGCTGGGGGAGCTCAGCGGGGAGATCGCCACCACCACCTTCTACCACCAGAACCGCTACGTGGACTGCAGGTAACCGTGCTGCCGTGGCACCGGCACGGCCCCGGGGAGCAGGGGTCCCGGTGTCACCCGCCGTGGCTGTCCTGGCACAGGGGCGGCCACGTGCAGCTGGTGGATGGCTCGGACCTGAGCTACGTGGAGGACGGGACGCCCTGCGGGCCCGGAATGCTCTGTCTCGACCGCAAATGCCTTCCAGCCACCGCCTTTAACTTCAGCTCCTGCCCCGGCAGCTGGGACGGGAAGATCTGCTTCGACCACGGGGTGAGGGGCGCGGCGGGGACAGGAGGACACTCGGGGGGGGTCACGGTCGCGGGGGGTGACGCCGTCCTCGCACAGGTTTGCAGCAATGAGGGGAAGTGCATCTGCCGGGCGGAGTGGACGGGGAAGGACTGCAGCGTCTACGACCCCATCCCGGAGCCGAAACCGACGGGGGAGACGGAGCGATACAAGGGTCCGTGTGCCCGCGGGGGACACGGGCTCCCTGCTGTCCCCAGGCCACACAGGCTGACCTGTCCCGCTTTGTCCCCAGCCACACCGGGGCTCCAGAGTGTCCCCCCCCGCCCTGCTCAGCTGGGCACGGCTGGGTTTGTCCCCGCTCCCAGGTCCCCACGGCTCTGGGTCATCCCTGGGGCTGTGTCCCCGTGTCCCCGCATCCCGTCCCCACCGAGGTGTGTCCCCGTGGCTGGGTTTGCCTCCCTCCCAGCTCCCCTCGGCACAACCCTGGGGCTGTGCCCTGGTGTCCCCCTGTCCCCTCCCCACTGACATGTTCCCTGTGGCTGGGTTTGTCCCCTTCCCGAGTCCCCATGGCACTGGGGCATCCCTGGGGCGATGTCCCCACGTCCCCTTCCCACTGACGTGTGACCCTGTCCCCTCCTCCCTGTCCCGTCTGTCACAGGTCCCAGTGGCACCAATATCATTATCGGCTCCATCGCGGGGGCCGTGCTGGTGGCTGCCATCGTCCTAGGGGGGACAGGCTGGGGATTTAAGTAAGCAGCCACCGCATGGCTCGTCCCCTCTGCTGCTGTCACCGGCCACGTCCCCTCTGCACAGCGTCACCGCGCCAGGGCCAGGCCGTGCCCTGCCGGGGCACTGCCAGTCCCCCCAGCTGGGCATCCCCTGCCGTGTGGCCTCTGGTCCCCTTGGCCCTGCCTGGTCCCCTGACCCTGCCTGGTCCCTTGTGCCAGCCCCTGCCTGACCCCTGGCCCTGCCTGCCCCGCCTGCATGTGCCATTGGGGTGTCACTGTCACCCGGACCCCGTGGCCGTGTCTGTCCCCAAGCATGGGGTGCTGGGGCGGGGGCTGTGTCGGTGGCCCCCCCGTGTGTGCTCCTGCCTGGCACTGGGACACTGCTGCTGCCTGTGGGACCAGGGACACTGGGGTGGGGGGGACACAGCAGTGGGGACAGCGGGGACATGGGGGTAGCACTAATGCTCCTCTCCTCTCCCCCTGCCACCCCCCCAAGGAACATCCGCCGAGGAAGGTACGACCCGGCGCAGCAGGGAGTGTAACCGTGTCCCCCCCATCGTCTCGTCACCGTCCGTGTCACCGTCACCGTCCGGCAGCCTGACGGCGTGGGAGCCCCCGGGCCCGTCTGTCCGTGTGCTGTGTGTCCGGCCGTGCTGTCTCCATCTCTGTGCCCCCACGGCTGAAGGGGAGCAGCGGCTGGGGGGGCCTGGCCGCAGCCCCCCCCCCCGGTGCTGGCTCATTTCAGCTCAGTGTCCCCCCATGTGTCACCCCCCTGTCACAGCCCCCCACTAAACGCACCCCACTTCTGTGTTGCAGGTCCGGGGGGGCCTGAACGGGGCCGCTCTGCCCCACCCCCCCAGCGCCTCATTAACAGCAATTAAATGGGGCGGCGCTGCCGAGGGTCCAGCCGAGGAGGAGAGCGGGGGGGTGGCACCGGGACCGCCCCCCGGCCCCCCCGCACCGCCACGAATGTACGGGGACCCCCGGCCCCCCCCGGGCTGGCGGCACTCGGCACTGGATGAATGAATGTACCCGAGGGGCCAGCGGGGAGCCCCGGCCCCACATTCCCCCCTGCCCTCCAGCAGCATCTTCCAGCCGGGAAGCCTGCTTCCTGCACCCCGAAAGGCAGGCCAGGGTCCCCAGGACCAGACCAGCGTCCCCAGTACGAGGCCAGTGCCCTTTCCCAGTTCAAGGCCTGGAGTCGTGTCCCTGCCACCCCCGTGCCTGGGCTGGGTCCGACGGGGGCCAAGTCCTGCACCCCCAGATGTGCCTCCCCGGCCCCCCAAAGCAGCTCAGCAACCCCGTGTGGGGTTTGTCCCCTCAGATTCTCCCCCCGTGTCATGGCTGCACCCCCAAGCCATGGGACCCCAAAGTGGCCAGAGGTGGGACAGGCACAGCTCTCCTTCAAGGCTTCCCCCACTCAGGCAGGCGAACTCCAAACTGGTGACACTGGAGTTGGGGGGGACAGAAGGGCCCCCCGGGGGGACCAGGGCACAGGGTGAGCCCTGGGCTGGGGACACAGGGCTGCTTGCTGGGTGGCACTTGTCACCCCAGCCCCAGGGCAGGCTTGTGGCACCCGTTCCCCCCGGACTGGGCGTCCCCCACCCCCTGGCAGGTTGTGGGGAGGCATCACCCTCTCCCTGTGGCACGTGGCACATGTCACCCTGCATGGGGTGGCTCTAGAGAGCCACCCAAAGCACAGCACCTCGGAGCACTGGGGGCCACACAGGTCCCTTTAACCACTGGTGACACTCAGCATGGAGGGGGGACATCCCTGGTGACACTTGGTGGCACATCCCAGTGGGGGGGGGGGACACTCCCGGGGACACTCAGCACGGGGACAATGGGGGATGATAGCCATTGTCCATGGCAGTGTCAGGGTGTCCCCTCTGTGTCCCCTCCTTGCCCGGTGTCCCTGCCCACCACTGGGCCCCTTTGCCGTGGAGACAGAGAGTGACCAATGGTGTCCCCAAGCCCAGCCATGGCCAAAGCGTGTGGTGGCGCCCAGCCCGGTGTGACAGCCCCACTGGGCACCCACGAGTGCCGTGGCTGCGGTGGCAGCCCAGGGGACAGGGTGGGAGGTGACAGCAGGAGGGGGTGGCTGGACATCCCCTGGCTTCGCAGGCGGCTTCTCGTGTGACGTATCAGCACTGGGAGATGTGGGGACCTGGGACCACCGTGGAGTGTGGGATCAACCCCCCATCTCTATCACTGTCACCACAGTGTCCCCACAACTGCCACAGTCACAGTGCCGGGGTGCTCCCCGAGGCGAGGGGACACCCCTGGTTCGGAGCAAACCGTTGTCACTGGGTTTGGGGACATTAATATATATATATATATATATATGTGTGTATATATATATATAAATACTGGGATTTTTCTTAATGATTTTAACGCTGTCAGGGCGGGAGGGCCCGTGGCGGGGGGGGGGGGGGGGGCACCCGGTGCTTCCAGAGCCAAGAGAGCAAAGCCCCCCCAGCCCTCGCTGCTCCCACGGGCCCCGTCCCGTCCCGGGGACGAGCACAGCGGGGTGGGGTCCCCGTCCCCCCCTCTCCGCACCGCCGCCACCCCGCACCGCCTGCTCCGCTACCGCCGGGCCCGGCGGGACCCCCGCGCCCGCCCGGCCTCGAGCTCCCGCTTTGCACGTGCTGGGAGCCGCTCCGGGCTCGGCCCCGGCTCCGGGCTCGGCCCCGGCTCCGGGCTCGGTCCCGGCTCCGGGCTCCGTCCCGGCTCCGGGCTCGGTCCTGGCTCCGGGCTCGGTCCTGGCTCCGGGCTCGGCCGCCTCCTGCAATGTCGCAGAATTTATTTACAATAAAGATTTGGAAAACGATGAGGGCTCCGCTTCTTCTCACCCGCGTGGGGTGGCAGGGTGGCAGGAGGCTCCACAGATTTCATCTGTGAGGATGCTCTGGTCCTTGGATCCCTCCAGCTCGTCCCACTGATGTCTTCCCCATGTCCCACCTTCCGCCCTGGCCTGTCCCTCACGATTTCCATGTCTGAGTCAGGAGACCCACCCAGGACGGCTCCCCGAATGGAGATGATGGCACACAGCGAGCGTCACTCTCTGGGGACCTTGTCGCACTGTGGGGACGCGTGGCTGCTCCCTGTCCCACCACAGCGATGCTCAGTCCCTGCGCAAGGACCCCGCTCCACACGGGGACAGCCTCAGCTGGGTGAGGCTGCAGGGTCCTGGCAGCAATCCCTGGCAGAAGGGGACTGGGGGACAGGTCCCCAAGTCCCAGCGGGACCCGTGAGAATGGAGCATCCTCCCCTGGAGCCGGCCCGGCGCAGCCTCAGCGGCAGCACGGCCGGGGCTCCCCAGGGCTCCCCGGCACTCCGGACAGATCCCGGGGCTCCCCGGCACTCCGGACAGATCCCGGGGCTCCCCGGCACTCCGGGAGGATCCCGGGGCTCCCCGGCACTCCGGGCGGATCTCCGGGCTCCCCGGCACTCCGGACAGATCCCGGGGCTCCCCGGCACTCCGGGAGGATCCCGGGGCTCCCCGGCACTCCGGGCGGATCCCGGGGCTCCCCGGCACTCCGGGAGGATCCCGGGGCTCCCCGGCACTCCGGACGGATCCCGGGGCTCCCCGGCACTCCGGACGGATCCCGGGGCTCCCCGGCACTCCGGGCGGATCCCGGGGCTCCCCGGCACTCCGGGAGGATCCCGGGGCTCCCCGGCACTCCGGGCGGATCTCCGGGCTCCCCGGCACTCCGGACAGATCCCGGGGCTCCCCGGCACTCCGGGCGGATCCCGGGGCTCCCCGGCACTCCGGGAGGATCCCGGGGCTCCCCGGCACTCCGAGCGGATCTCCGGGCTCCCCGGCTCCTCCTCGCACTCCGGCCAGGAGAGGGCTCTCCCGGCACAGCCCGGGCTGGGCGCGCTGCAGCCGCTCCAGGGCGCTCCAGGGCCACGCGTGTCCCCGCGGTCCCCGCTCGGGGTCCTGCTCAGGCGGTCACACACGAGCGGCTCAACCCTGCGGCACCCCTTCTCTGCCCGCCGGGGACCAGGGGCAGGATTCAGGACAATTCCTGCTGTGAGCACCTCCCGCAGAGCCCCCCGAGCGGGGCTGGAGGTGCCCCTCGCCCTGCTGAAGGGACTCGCTGTGGTGTCCCCGGTGCTTGGCAGGACACACCGGCTCCAGATCCCTGCGGGGATGACGCCGAGCTCCAGCCGGGGGTGCGGGGGGTGCCTGAGCACCTCGGGGTGCTGCTCCCTCGGGAGAACACCCAGCTCTGAGCCGGAGCGTCTCTCTGGCTCCAGCCCACCTTATTAAAGCCATCACCATCAGCCTTTTGCTCTGCCCCCCGCGGCAGGACGGGGCGAGGGGTGAGGAAGAGGCTGGAGGTGCCTCTGGCCGTGGCAGTGACCAGGGGCGAGCGGGGGGTCTGCACCAGGACCCCCTCACCCCTGTGTCCTGAGCAGGCGGAGGCTGGCAGCAAATGGGGCTGTTTGTCCCCTGACGTGGCTGCAGGGGCATCTCTGCACCCGTGAGGGGTTTGGTGCAGTTCTGCTCCATCCACAGGAGGAGTTATTTTGGGCTGGTGTCGAGATATCAGCACGATGAGTGAGTCAGAAATATTCCAGATGCACCGGCTGCTTCTGAATCTTGAGTTATTCAAAATCTTCAGGGTCAGGAGGGCAAAAAACACGAATTCAAGTGGGCCCAGCTGAGCGTGCTGCCCTGCAGGATCATACAACACCCACTGCTCTTGATCAGGGCAGGGCCCCTCTGCCAGGGGCTGGGGCACAAGGACACCACAATGTGTTGGATGTGCCTGGCAGAAGGGAGATGGTCCTTGGCCAACTGCCCAGGGCCACAAAAGCTGCAGGAGGCGGCAGGTCTGGTGCCCAGAGACACCCAACAGCCCAGGCTGCCCTTTCCCTCCATCACAAACTTTCCTTTCCACGGCTGCCCCAGGCACAGTCATTCCTGCCTGTCCCCAAGCTCCTTCTTTCTCCTAATTCACTGGTCCAGTCAGGGACAGTTCCTGTGCTCAGCTCCAACCCTCACCCACCACTTTTACTGCACCTGCAAAGGTTCAACCACAGCAACCATGGGAGAAGCCACAGTCTCCTGTTTTTGTGCTGAGATCAGAGAATCAGGGAATTGTTTAGCTGGAAAAACCCTCCACTGATTTCAACCATTCCCCAGCACTGCCAAGGTCACCACTGACCCAGGTCCCCAAGTGCCACAGCCACAGGTTTTTAAACACCCCCAGGGACAGGGACTCCACCACCACCCTGGGCAGGTGTGCCAATGCCTGACCACCTTTCCAAGAAGCAATTTTCCCAATATCCCACCTAAACTTTCCCTGGCACAACTTGAGGTCATTTCCTCTTGTCTTGTCCCTGTTCTCTGGGAGCAGAGCCCTACCCCCACCTGTCAGGGACTTGTGCAGAGCCAGAAGGTCCCCCCTGAGCCTCCTTTGCTCCAGGCTGAGCCCCCTCAGCTCCCTCAGCTGCTCCTCATCAGAATCCTGCTGAAGACCCTGAACTTAAGAGAAAAAAAAAATCCAAACAAATCCCTCATTATTAGTAA